GAGAGAGAGAGAGAGAGAGAGAGAGAGAGAGAGAGAGAAAGTAAATACGTTTGACTTACCTCCTTCTGTCAGTTTCACAAGTCTGGATCAAAGTTTGTATCTGGCTGTTGATAAAGGGGTCGGTAGGAAAGTCTTTTTGGAACGAGTCAGTGGGTAATCCTGGAAGGAGGATGAAACAGATTTTAATATGTCGTTTCATATACATATAAATGTTATATATTATATATATTATGATAAGGTAGTCATAATATATTGATAGATACATACAACCAAAAGGATACTTAGATAGGCGCCGATTGGATTGGAGAGAGAGAGAGAGAGACAGAGACAGACAGACAGACAGACAGACAGACAGACAGACAGACAGACAGACAGACAGACAGACATATTGACCGTTAAACAGACAACTAGGGACAGAGATAGACAGAGATAGACATGCAGAATCAGACAGAGACAGATAGTGAGAGAGACAGAGAGAGACGAATATAGAGAAAGAGACAGACAGACAGACATACGGACAGATAGAAGAGAAACATAAATCCTCACCAGTACAGTTAGGAAACGGTCCTCCGACAAACTGGACAAGGAACCTGAATCGTTCTTCAGCAAATTCCCGAGACAGACCCAGACCGCCACAGCGGACGAACATCCACCTGGACACACAAGCAAAACACATTATTGTACACACCAAACACACAAACAGAACACATTTCTAAACACACCAGATACACATACAAACAAAACACGCTATATTGTACACAGCAGACACACACACACAAAACACATTATTGTACACGCCAGACACACAAACAAAACACATTACTAAACACACCAGACACACATACAAACAAAACACACTATTGTACACAGCAGACACACAAGCAAAACACGCAATTGTACACACAGCAAACTGACCCTGCGAACAAACATTCACACACACACATAAGCAAAACAGCCGTAGGTATTTGGGCTAACAACTCGGACCAGAATAGCCTAGTGTTGTTATAATATTTACAAATCATAACTTTGTGTTCGAAACTTGTGGCTTTTATTGACTAATAATTTTTTTATTTTTTTTTAACGGGAGGACAAGGAGAAAGGGAGGGGGTTGAGGGTGGAGAGGATTGGACATGATTCAGGCCAGAAAAAGTCACATCAGATCTACCATCTCCAGATATTTCATTTTATCATCATTGCCTTTTTCACCCTGTATCAGGATATAGGCACTTTCCACCTTTCCCTATCCTGGGCTAGTCGCTTGATGTCACCCCATGTCTTCCCACTTTTCTGTACATCCATTTCTGTGATTCTTCTCCAGGTTCCACGTGGTCTTCCCCTTGATCTTTCACCCTGTGGGTTCCAATGTGTTCTTCATTTCAAAATTAAAGGTAATTGTTATTATTGACCTCAATTAGGTATTTCGGAAAGATAATAAGAAAAAAATCTGCCTCATCACGGCCTGTATCTATACACAAACACACGTTACTACCTAGCTGTGAACTCCAACTGGTCAATACAGCCGTCCTGGTTGGCGTCATAGATCGCTACATCCTGGAAGATGGACAAAGAAAATGGATATGTAAGAGAAACAAATGTAGATGTTGTTGTGTTATTGTTTTCTGTTATTACTGTCTATGAAAAAAAAAAGAGTACAGTTATCTCTGTCTGTGGAGGGCGCGATGGCGGAGCGGTTAGTGCGTCCGTCTCCGAAGCGGAAAGTTCAGGTTCGAGCCTCGTTTCGGACACGGATTTCTTCGCCCCCTCCTGCCCACACAGCAAATATGGGTACCTGACTTCGACTTGATTAAGTAAAGGCGGGGTGGAAAGGAACTGGCTACCCTACCACAATATGTCGAAGGATCAGTCTCACTGACACGGCAATCCCCAATGTCCGGATCGGATGTGGGAACAACTTTACCTTTACATGCACTCAAGCTGGGGACAATATTTTCATGCCCGAAGCTTTCCTTTCTTTATCTACATTGTCTGGAAGTCATTGTGACTGGAGATTCTTCTCGAAAGCTTCAGCATTGATTTTTCAATGTGCTGGTGTCTCATTGACATTGAAGTCTGTTCTCCTCAATGATTGTAAAGTCTTCATAAAATGTTCATCACTAACATCACTAAAGTTTTGAGGAAAATCATCTAAATGGCTAGTTAAAAACACAAACTTGTATAAGTTTTCTAACAAAGTTTTGACTATGTTCTTAGAATGTTCAGCTTGTTTGCGCCAAAAAACTATTTTCCAAAAAATCACAAACGATTCACAAGCTCTTATCTCTATAGTTTGTCACTCATCGAGTCTGCGTTCAGCTTTCTGATTTGGTGGATACCTAAGACACCCGCCTTTATTTTCTCGAAACTGATATTAGGAAAATATGTACACTCATAATTTAACCCTCCCCTCTTCCCAACCATCTCAAAATCCAGGGCTTTTCACGAAAATGTTTCACCCAGCCCAATTTGTTATGCCAGGGAGGGAAGATGTTACTTTTTATCCCGTCAACACAAGTGATTCATTGGTGATATCTTCTCTCCAAACTGTTAGATTCGAGCTGTCCTCATTGGCCAACTCTTTTGTTCACAGTCATTTTCCTCTGACTATCCCACAAGGAAAAAGGTCATGGACACTTTGAATAGTCACCCTATTAGTTAATGACGTTGACCATTTTCAGACAAGCAGAAATCGTTTAGTTATGGTCCCCGTATTTTTGTCAATCTGCCACTATTTCCATGGGTCTGTATTCTTCTTAAAGCACAGGTGAGAAACCAATGGGAACAGACTCAAATAAATTCCCACTGTGGCATAGCACACACTTCGGACTTTTCTTTGAGCTGTCTAAGAAAAGTGTCCTCTAATTTGGATCGTAGTTAAATACACCCTTTTGTTGATGTCTGTCTATCATACTTTTCCCCAGCATTAAAAGACTATTATTGTGTCGATATGCTTCAATTTAATTAAACAAAAAAAACGTTGTGTCCCGGGGAAAGGAACTTTATAAAAATTCCTTATTTGGCTCGGTCCTTTTGAAGATGGACGTTAAGCCCCTAGGTCTTCAATTACCTAAAAGTGTGGACAGGGGCGATAAACCTATACAATTTCATCATCTTCCAAATCAAACTTATTGTGTCGATGTGCTTCTCTTTACTCAAACAATCAAACCAATACGCCGTGACACAATTTAATGTTCCTTACAGTGGCAAACTCGGCAGGGGTAATCACACCATCTCCGTTCTGGTCGTTTGTCCTAATGAGGTTGTCGAAAGCTTGCTCAAACGTCATCTGTCTCTGGAATTGTGACAACACGGGCAAGGCGACGGAAGGTCCCAGGTGTTGGCTCGCAAAGTTCAGGGTATAGTTGAAACAGGTGTAGTAACATCCTAAAGTGGGGAGACTGCAGGCACGGGGGAGTTGGCTGTGGAGGGACAGATTGGGGATAAGGAGTGGGGTTGGGGCGTAAAGGGGGTGGGGGTGGGGGAGGACGGTGATAATGTGGGTTTATTGGTGGAGGTAAGGCTTTGGGAAGGATGGGCGAGGGTGAATGGGATTTGGGTAATTGCAATATCCAGGATGGTACTCCTAGAACTTCCAGTTGGCCTACCTCTTCTTTTCTTTCTGTCGTGCAGCTTTAAGAACTTCTCGGCCGTGAAGTAAAAAGAAACAACAGGAATGATCAAAGTTTGGCTACAGGACTCGTTAACAGTTACAACATGGCCACGACTCTTCTCTTCCAATACCACGGGAGGTTCATTGTATTATTATATACTCAGCTGTTTTTTGAAAAGGAATTGTAAGAGATAATAAATTATACTAGCAATAATATACTTTTTCCTTTAAGTTCTTTACAAAAAGATCAAAAGCCTAATTATACTTCACTGGGAAATAATCTAGTGCTTCCAACACTTTGTGAAAAAGAGGCATATCCAAACCCCAGGTTTTTAACTTCAGTAGCCCAATTGACTGTGCCCAATTCACGGGAAAGATATAATTGTATGAAACATTTCTGTGGATATCTGTCCTTTTCTAAGTGTTTAAGTATCCTCCAGAATGTAATGACATAAGGCATAATTATAATCAGAACAAATAGAAGTTCCTTCCACTTCTTTCAGAACACAACATTAGGGTGTAGCTTTACTAATATCTAGAAAGGCTTTCCAATATTGTACCTGAACATTATCAATCACGTTTTAATTGTTGTTACCCCAAAATTTCAGAGCCATAAAGCATTTACTATTTCGAAATGTGATTCTTGGTGCGAACTGAAAAGTCTTCTTGCTCGAGAAATAATCCGTTGAGCTTTACTCGCTCGATCTTCTAGTGTTCTCCTTCAACAAAGACACATTTAAAATGAAATGTCCAAGTAACTATAATAGGTTTTTGTCTCTAAGTAAGATCTTATCCTCCCAATACCATCTCTCAAATCTTTTTGAGATAGCCTCCATTTCTTTAAAACAGCATTCTTACTTTTCTTCGTATCCATTTTTAAATACCATATCTGGCAGGAACCATGTAACATTTGATTTTATGCTGTAAATCTCTGACATTGTAGTCAAAGAGACTTAGTTCATCAGCGTACATTAAACACAAAATACCACCATCATCATTGGGCAATACTTGTATAGCATGGGCATTTAATTCTGAAAGGTATTTTTCGAATTTAGAAGTAAACAAAGAACATAATGCAGGGCCAAGTATGCAGCCTTGTTCGACACCTGAAATGCATTGGAAGTATTCAGCAACATAAATTTCCAGGGATCCTCGTTTTTCTTTAACGAATGAAAGCACATTTTGGTACAGCTTTAAAAAAAAATATGATTGTTTCAGAGCAGCCAGGACGTTTTAACACTGTCTAAAGCTTTTCTCTGACAACACAATCAAAATCTTTTTTATAAGTCGACAAAACATACATAAAATGTTCCACCATGCATGGAGATGTGGTCTTAAAAGATTGAAGTGAAAGTTTGTTGTCAAAATTATGTAGAATACTTTTGTCTAAATCCAGCCTGAGATTCAGCGATGAGGTTACCTTCAACTCACCATTGCTGCGTCTTTTTTTTTCTCAATATTTACGAGAAACAATTCACCATGAACCACATAAACATAATGTGCTGTATCTTCCAAATCGG